ATTGTTGCCTTCATTTTTTTTGGGTGCTTATTACAGATGAAAAACACATTTTCATTTTCTTTGGGACAAACACAATTCACAACAAAATGAGTCAATCATTTTTTTTCCTTTTTATGTATTGTTACTTCTAAATTCTTACTTAAAATAACATACAAATCTCTTCTACAGATAAAGCTGAACCTTCCAGAAACAGAAACTATTCCGTCGAGAGTGAAAAAAGAGTTCCTCCTTTGTCTGATATAACAAATGGTGAGTCACAATATCACTGATTTAATGTATTTATACTTGTGTTATTGTAACTTACTTTACCATAATTTATTCTACTTACAATGTTTGGTTAAGTTGATTAATAGTTGTACAATTCATGATGCATATGTAACTCATTGGGTAGACATGAAAATATATCATCTTCTCCCTTATTTAAACACAATTCCTATAACTATTAGCATCTATTGTTTGTATGACATTATAGATTTTCCAGACTCATAAAACTCATTGGTGCCTCCAATTTATGTAGTTCATTCTGTTTTTATGTGTGAGAGTACATACAAATAGTTTGCTCTGAAGGATGAGAAACATGTCATCCCGTGGAAAAAAAGGCCTAGAGTTACAGGTTCAACAAGAACAACTAAAAAGGGAAAACATTAGATAATTTATACTCTGTTAGTTCTTTGTATACATGAGAATATATATCATCTTGAGCATATAACAAATGGTGAGTGACAATTCCTATACTTCAAGGTTAGTTCCTCAATCTTGTTCTTATTTAAGACCTTCATTATGCATTTTATTTTCACTTATTTTGTTCGATTTAATCCACTTTTAAAATTACACATTCTTATCACAGGTGTGTACGATGACAATGTTTTGCCCGATTTAAATGACACTCCAACCGAAGAAGGTATTAAAAGTTTGATTGTCATATTTACCTTTCAATTAATACTAACAATCTTACTACTTTGTAGATATGCAAATGCATACTTCTCTGCCAGATTTAAATGGAACTCCAATAATAGAAGGTAAGCATTTGAAATTCTCATTGTTATTATTTAAATATAAATTATAATGTTAACATTAATGAAAATTAATTATTGTAACTCTCTTACTAGAAATCGAGGCTGAAATAAACAACATAGCCATACAAGGTATGTTTCTATGAGATATTGATTCACCTTTAAATGATGACATTATACTACATGTGGCTATATACTTAAGTAGAGTGTGCAATGAGGCGAAAGCTTCTCTACAAGAGCCTCTGATTGGCGGAGTAGAAGTAGTAGTAGTAGTAATTGTCTTAGATCATTATACACTCACAAATTTTACAAATAACAGGGCAGTTGCAAAGTAATATAGGATATGAAGATGATGAAGAGTATCCAGGTATGACAATCATACCTTTGCACTTTTTTGTTGTTATTAAAAAACAATCTATATTGACAAATATAGATGTATATATCTACGTACCATCCCTATTAATTGATTTAACTACTACTTTTCTTAGAGGTGGATGTTGAATGTGGCGAAATTTACACTGAAGGTACTTATGAGAAACTCCTTATTCATAAAAAACAATTCGATAAAACAAATCAATAATTTTCTGTTTTTGACTTTATATACTATTGCACATACAGATTACTGGGATATAGGAGATGCTACATATGAATGCGAAAAGTGCGGGGCTCTTTTTTGGTATGAAGAAAGAATCCGCAAGCATTACAACTCAAAAAAACCTATTTTCACAATGTGTTGTGATCGTGAAAAAATAAGGCTTCCAGATCTTAAGAAGCCTCCTGAAGTTTTGGAACAACTTTTATTTGGATCAGGTTAGAGGAATTAGAACTTTTAATATCAACATGTCCAAATGGGCTTATATTCACATTTATCTTTTTGAAATGGTTTTAATATAGGTCCTAAAAGTAGACATTTTCGAGAAAATATTAGAAGGTATAACTCTATCTTCTCATTTACGTCAATGGGGGGTAAGGTTGATTCTCTATCAACCAGGAAAAAGGGCCAAGAACGTTCAGATTATGTGGTCAAAACTACCATCAAATTGGGAGCTTACTACCTCCTGAAAGATCTACTCCAAAATTCGCACAGTTATATATATATGATACAGGGAATGAAGTTACAAATAGAATCAAAGCTATCAGGTTAGTCTTATTTATTTTTATTATATGATAATATGAAAATAATAATAAATGTTAAATCCTTTATTAATATCATATATTTGTTTCAGTCGTGGCCAAGATATTAATAAACTTCATGCAGAAATTGTTTCTGATATGAAACAAATGCTTGATGACATTAATGTTTTGGCAAAGACATTTAGGATGGTCAGAGATCGATTCCAGGAGAATATAGACTCCAATGTTAAGCTCAGATTAATAGGGAAAAGAGGTACTGATGGTAGAAGATACAACTTACCAACAATACCAGAAGTAGCTGCTTTGGTTGTTGGTGATTTTGAAGTTTCAGGAAGTGATTGTGATATCATTATAGAAACACAATCTGGACAGCTACAAAGGATAAATTAACTAAATGCTGCATATTTAGGTCTACAATATCCTTTGCTTTTTCCTTACGGTGAAGATGGGTACAGAGAGGACATTCCTTTAAGTCAAGGTGATGAATCATCGAGAGGAAGGCAATGTGTTAGCATGCGAGAATTTTTCGCTTATAGAATTCAGGAAAGAAAAGAAGAAGTTCCCACCATTGTGTCTTCAGGAAGACTATTTCAGCAATTCTTAGTTGATGGTTATACAATGATAGAATCTTCTCGGTTGAAATTTATAAGGACTCATCAAAAGCAATTAAGAGTTGATTCTTATAAAGTCCTAGCAGATGCTATATTACATGGTGACATCGATCCTTCATCCCAATGTAAAAGGATAATTCTACCTTCAAGCTTTACAGGGGGTGCACGATATATGGTTCAGAATTATCAAGATGCTATGGCAATATGCAAATGGGCTGGGTACCCTGATCTTTTTATCACATTTACTTGCAATCCTAAGTGGCCAGAGATTACTAGATTTGTAGATAGCAGGGGCTTGAATCCGGAAGATCGTCCAGACATTTTAAGTAGGGTGTTCAAAATTAAATTGGACCGCTTAATAAAGGATTTGAGAGATAATAAAGTTTTTGGACAAGTAAAAGCAGGTATACAATAATTTGCATTTAATTTAAATAAATATGGTGATTTTATATAATTTTTTCCTACTATTCAAACAATTGTTATTTCTAATAAACTTGCATACTCTTCGATGCAGTGATTTATACCATTGAGTTCCAAAAACGAGGCTGCCTCATGCTCATATCTTACTTTTTCTTCATGAGCATGATAAATTTCCATCTGCGTCAGATATTGATCGAATAATTTCGGCAGAAATACCCGATGAA